CCCTAGGTGGCCCCCACCTTCCCCACCCTCAATATCCCACATTGCTCTCCCTGTAATCCACTACCTCTTCCCCCTACGCCCGGAGCACCACCTCCCATCATCCCCCCACCCCAGCCGTCCTCACCCACATCCTCTAGGTTTTCCGGCCACCATCTCTCCCAGAGACCACCTGTTCACCCGGTCATTGCACTTTCTTTGTACCCCTCGTGGTCCTTTATTTGCCACTCCTCTTTTATTCTCCTCTTCCTTCCACTTACATGTTTCTTTCAACCTTTCTTTCTTATTAATAGAAAAATGTTGACGAAAACTTGCATTCTTGTGGCCTGGTGGCAAAAGCTCTCGCTTCACACGGTGAGGTCTGGGTTCGATTCCCGGCGAAGGGGTGGTAACATTGGACGTGTTTCCTTACACCTGTTGTCCATGTTCACCCATCTGTAAAATGGGTACCTGGGTGTTAGTCGACTGGTGTGGGTCGCATCCTGGGACAAAACTGACCTAATTTGCCAGAAATGCTCTGCATAACAAGCGGCTTTCTATATAGTAGTATGTCAGTGATGTCAGCTAGGACTGTATACCTTGTACATGTACTTGTAGCAAATAAAGATATTAGTATTATTATACTGTGCTAATGTTGTGTATCTTTATACGTATATGCTTCTAGACTGTTGTGTTCTGAGCACCTCTGCAAAAACAGTGATTATGTGTGAGTAAGTAAGTTTATTCAGGTATACACAAATACAGTTACATAGAATTATCATACATAGCAGCATATGTGTAGAGAACCTAGGATAACCCAAAAAAGTCAGACAGAGTGACCTATTTCCATTGGGGTGAAAGTGTTGAATGATGATGAAAGTATCTTCTTTTTGGGGATTTTCTTTCTTTTTTGGGTCACCCTGCCTCGGTGGGAGACGGCCGACTTGTTAAATATATATATATATATATATTATATATATATATATATATATATATATATATATATATATATTAATTATACATGTTTACCTGGAGAGAGTTCCGGGGTCCTCATAATAGATAAAACTTGTCAATTAGCAAGAATTCATTTAAAATTAAGTCCTTTCTAAAATTTTCTCTTATACGATTAAATATATATTTTTTCATTTATGTTAATGTAAAAATTAATTTTGTACCTTAGGACACTTACATAACCTTATTGTAACAAGCGCAATTTAATTTAGCCTAATCCAACAAAATATATTTTAGATAAGCTTACAATAATTTAATAATAAACAAACACAATCAAATATATACATTTTTGGTAGGCTCAGAATGATTTTTGAAAAATTATTACATACACAAATTTTCGTTTGCCTTATTCGGCAACAAGAGCGTTGCTGTTTAAGCCAAAATCGCAAGTTTTACCTATTCGGCACACTATATACATATATCATTTTAACCATGAACGAATGATATTGAATCAATAACAATACTGCGACTAGCCGAGGATTCCAACCCATGTCATTTTTGGCAATCATACAAGAATCAAGCACCCAGCAGAGCTAGGTATTTTATCTTGATCCGAGGGCATACGGTGGTGTGGGTGCCTCTGAGCTAATTTCATTCTAATCCTCGTTTGGTGTACTAGCCTTCACGAGCGGTATATACTATATTATTGTGACCACGAGCTGTATAGCCCTTGTGGCTTAGCGCTTCTTTTTGATTATAATAATAATAATAATTGTGACCACGAACGAGTGGTACTGAATCAATAACAACACTGTGACTAGCCGACGACATGGGTTCGAATCCTCGGCTAGTCGCACTATTATTAATTCAATACCACTCGACCGTGGTCACAATAATATATGTACCGCTTGTGAAGGCTAGTACACTAAATTATGAATGAAATTAGCACAGAGGCACCCACACCACCGTATATCCTTGGATCATGATAAAACACCTAGCTCTGCAGGGTGCTTGATTCTTGTAGGACTGCGTGGTCCTGTAGGTTAGAGCGTCATGTGATTTTCGCTCACCGTGTTAGTGTCAGGTGGATGATACTGGTGGAGGGATAGATGAGTGAGGTGGATGCTGGTGGTGGTGGAGAGATAAATATGGTGGATGCTGGTGGTGGTGTTGGAGAGGGATGAGTGAGATAGATGGTGGTGGTGGTGTTGGAGGGATGAGTAAGGTGGATGCTGGTGGTGGTGTTGGAGGGATGAGTAAGGTGGATGCTGGTGGTGGTGTTGGAGGGATGAGTAAGGTGGATGCTGGTGGTGGTGTTGGAGGGATGAGTAAGGTGGATGCTGGTGGTGGTGTTGGAGGGATGAGTAAGGTGGATGCTGGGGGTGGTGGTGGAGAGGGATGTGTAACGTGGATGGTGATGGTGGTGGTGGAGAGGGATGCGTAAGGTGGATGCTGGAGGTGTTGGAGGGATGAGTAAGGTGGATGCTGGTGGTGGTGTTGGAGAGATTAGTAAGGTGGATGCTGGTGGTGGTGGTGGAGAGATAAATGTGGTGGATGCTGGCGGTGGTGTTGGAGGGATGAGTAAGGTGGATGCTGGTGGTGGTGTTGGAGGGATGAGTAAGGTGGATGCTGGTAGTGGTATTGGAGGGATGAGTAAGGTGGATGCTGGTGGTGGTGTTGGAGGGATGAGTAAGGTAGATGCTGGTGGTGTTTGGAGGGATGAGTAAGGTGGATGCTGGTGGTGGTGTTCGAGGGATGAGTAAGGTGGGTGCTGGTGGTGGTGTTGGAGGGATGAGTAAGGTGGATGCTGGTGGTTTTGGAGGGATGAGTAAAGTGGATGCTGGTGGTGGTATTGGAGGGATGAGTAAGGTGGATGCTGGTGGTGGTGTTGGAGGGATGAGTAAGGTGGATGGTGGTGGTGGTGTTGGTGGAGAGGGAGTAAGGGTGATGCTGATGGTGGTGTTGGAGGGATGAGATAAGGCGGATGCTGGTGGTGGTGTTGGAGGGATGAGTAAGGGGGATGATGGTGGTGGCATTGGAGGGATAAGGTGGATGCTGGTGGTGGTGTTGGAGGGATGAGTAAGGTGGATGCTGGTGGTGTTGGAGGGATGAGTAAGATGGATGCTGGTGGTGGCGGTATTGAAGGGATGAGTAAGGTGGATGCTGGTGGTGGCGGTGTTGGGGGGATGAGTAAGGTGGATGCTGGTGGTGGTGTTGGAGGGATGAGTAAGGTGGATGCTGGTGGTGGTGTTGGAGCCATGAGTAAGGTGGATGCTGGTGGTGGTGTTGGAGGGATGAGTAAGGTGGATGCTGGTCGTGGTGTTGGAGGAATGAGTAAGGTGGATGCTGGTGGTGGTATTGAGGGATGAGTAAGGGGGATGGTGGTGGTGGTGGTGGAGGGATGAATAAGGTGGATGCTGGTGGTGGTGTTGGAAGGATGAATAAGGTGGATGCTGGTGGCGGTGTTGGAGGGATGAATAAGGTGGATGCTGGTGGTGGTGTTGGAGGGATGAATAAGGTGGATGCTGGTGGTGGTGTTGGAGGGATGAATAAGGTGGATGCTGGTGGTGGTGTTGGAGGGATGAATAAGGTGGATGCTGGTGGTGGTGTTGGAGGGATGAATAAGGTGGATGCTGGTGGTGGTGTTGGAGGGATGAATAAGGTGGATGCTGGTGGTTGTGTTGGAGGGATGAATAAGGTGGATGCTGGTGGTGGTGTTGGAGGGATGAATAAGGTGGATGCTGGTGGTGGGTTGGAGGGATGAATAAGGTGGATGCTGGTGGTTGTGTTGGAGGGATGAATAAGGTGGATGCTGGTGGTGGTGTTGGAGGGATGAATAAGGTGGATGCTGGTGGTGGTGTTGGAGGGATGAATAAGGTGGATGCTGGTGGTGGTGTTGGAGGGATGAATAAGGTGGATGCTGGTGGTGGTGTTGGAGGGATGAATAAGGTGGATGCTGGTGGTGGTGTTGGAGGGATGAATAAGGTGGATGCTGGTGGTGGTGTTGGAGGGATGAATAAGGTGGATGCTGGTGGTGGTGTTGGAGGGATGAATAAGGTGGATGCTGTGGTGTGTTGGAGGGATGAATAAGGTGGATGCTGGTGGTGGTGTTGGAGGGATGAATAAGGTGGATGCTGGTGGTGGCGTTGGAGGGATGAATAAGGTGGATGTTGGTGGTGGTGTTGGAGGGATGAATAAGGTGGATGCTGGTGGTGGTGTTGGAGGGATGAATAAGGTGGATGCTGGTGGTGGTGTTGGGGGATGAATAAGGTGGATGCTGGTGGTGGTGTTGGAGGGATGAATAAGGTGGATGCTGGTGGTGGTGTTGGAGGGATGAATAAGGTGGATGCTGGTGGTGGTGTTGGAGGGATGAATAAGGTGGATGTTGGTGGTGGTGTTGGAGGGATGAATAAGGTGGATGCTGGTGGTGGTGTTGGAGGGATGAATAGGTGGATGCTGGTGGTGGTGTTGGAGGGATGAATAAGGTGGATGCTGGTGGTTGTGTTGGAGGGATGGATAAGGTGGATGCTGGTGGTGGTGTTGGAGGGATGAATAAGGTGGATGCTTGTGGTGGTGTTGGAGGGATGAATAAGGTGGATGCTGGTGGTGGTGTGGAGGGATGAATAAGGTGGATGCTGGTGGTGGTGTTGGAGGATGAATAAGGTGGATGCTGGTGGTGGTGTTGGAGGGATGAATAAGGTGGATGCTGGTGGTGGTGTTGGAGGGATGAATAAGGTGGATGCTGGTGGTGGTGTTGGAGGGATGAATAAGGTGGATGCTGGTGGTGGTGTTGGAGGGATGAATAAGGTGGATGCTGGTGGTGGTGTTGGAGGGATGAATAAGGTGGATGCTGGTGGTGGTGTTGGAGGGATGAATAAGTGGATGCTGGTGGTGGTGTTGGAGGGATGAATAAGGTGGATGCTGGTGGTGTGTTGGAGGGATGAATAAGGTGGATGCTGGGGGTGTGTTGGAGGGATGAATAAGGTGGATGCTGGTGGTGGTGTTGGAGGGATGAATAAGGTGGATGCTGGTGGTGGTGTTGGAGGGATGAATAAGGTGGATGCTGGTGGCGGTGTGTGCTGACGCTGCTGTCAGCTGGTTGAGATAAACACTGCTGGAGGGAGGAGCGTCAGCATGGAGCTTCAGAAGTACGCTGGCAGTATACTGCTGCCTGACACTGACGTCGTCTTCAGGAACATCAAGAATGCTAAACGCTTCGCCATCGATATTGGTCAATAATATACTGATGTGGTACCTTTGAATAATTGTAAATAATGATTTACCTTTCCCCTTGGATCAAACCTCAGTGACTCATTCCCCAGACGCTATGTAACTACAGTGGGTTTAGCGCTTTACCCTCAGTATTCACATTTTTTTCATTCAATTTAATGAGTTTTACAACAGTGTATTTCTTACTAGAGGTTTGCAGTGTTTATGTAAAATGTTCTTTATACAAGAGTCAGTGTGATGTGTTAATGCAAGTAAAGTTACGTGGACGTTTTTCTGTTATCATAGTTAATTCACACATGTTGCAATGCATGACAATTGCAGTCATTCAAAAATTGTGTAAAACTGTACCCACGAAAGAAATCTTCATTGCAAAATTACTGTACATAACGTATAATGATCTGTTGGCAATATAAGATGCTTAGTATGTTATTCAGAATTTAGACTATACTGTACGTAAAATTTATACGTATAGTTTTATTTAAAGGTCTATTACACGGTGTAAATAGGACCTTAAAGAATAGATATAGGTTACAAGTAAAGTCGTAAAAATAATATACATGTCTAGCTCTAGCAGGGTGAGGGATTAATTAATTAAATTCTAATATGTACAAAATGTTATGATAAAATATGTTTACTGAAGGACCCAGCTTCCCACCCTGGTCAGGGTGTATGTTGAACATGTGTCCTTACACCTGCTGCCCCTCTGTACTTAGCTGTAATTGGGTACCTGGGTGTTAACCTATTATTGTGGGTCTCACCCTGGGGGACCCCAGTGGAAATAAGTAACTTTGTCTGAGTTTTCTGGGTTATCCTAGGTAATCTACACATATGCCTCTATATATGATAATTTATGTGCACCTGTACCTGAGTAAACTTACTTGCTTACTAAGATTAAAAGGCCTCAATGGAAATAAAGCCAACAGTCCCTGATGAGGCATTGACTTTAATGCCTTATATTAGGTGACTAAAATTGTATATAATGACCAATAATAACAATAACCATAATAAAAATAATAATAATAAGAAGAAGAAGAATAGAGACAATAATTAACCACATCTTTAGCTAGTTAGCAGAGAATTTGATTTTAAACCGACTAAATTTTGAATTCAATCCTTGATCAACGTGTATAGTACACACTTGTTATCTAGTACAGTAGGACCCCCATATCTGCAGATTCAGTTTCCACGGTTTCAGTTATCCATGGTTTACCGTCGCCAAAAATAACCCTTAATTTTGCATAATAATGGCCATAAATCACAAAAGTAGTGATGGCAGCAGTTGTTCAGAGTCAAAGAGAAGCAGTGAAATGCTTCCCATTAGTAAAAAATTACTAATTATCAACTTATTGTGTGTAATTTATCAATTAAACTTCATCACAGGTATGTAGGTAAACGAAAAACGACATATACCTAGAATATACCTGGAGAGAGTTCCAGGGGTCAATGCCCTGCAGCTTGGTCTGTGACCAAGCCACATGGGGAATCAGGGCCTGATCAGCCAGGCTGTTACTGCTGGCTGCACGCAATCCAACGTACGAGCCACAACCTGCCTGGTCAGGTACCAACTTTAGGTGCCTGTCCAGTGCCTGCTTGAAGACAGCCAGGGGTCTATGGTAATCCCCCTGATTTATGCTGGGAGGCAGTTGAACAGTCTTGGACCCCTGACACTTATTGTGTTGTCTCTTATTGTGCTAGTGGCACCCCTGCTTTTCATTGGGGGGATGTTGAATGTATAGGGTTCGCTACTATCCACTGTTTCGGGTACCCACGGTAGGTGTGGGAATGTATCCCCATGGATATGGGGGACTACTGTGTTCCCTCCGTTATACTCTCCACCCTTGCTAGTTTCAGATCAAGCATATTACACAGTTCACACACCCTACCCTATATGATCCTGGTGGGTTAAGCACTTAGTTTTGATTATAATAATAATATTACCTAGTAATAAATGAATGCTAAGAGTTTAGTTGACTGAAGTGGGCCATATCCTGAGGATGATGACCAATTATAACCTATGAAAGTATGCCACATGCTTAAGTTTTAGCTATCCTAAGTTAATCCTTCAGATAATAATCCCAAGAAAACAGTATTCTAATTTATTTTTATTATAAATGTTAATACTTGAGTTTGCAGTCATGTGGCTCCAGTCAGCTGACCTGCCACTCAGGTGAGCAAATACTTCTTTCAGTGTTTTTTCTTATGTTTATTTGATGGGAGGAGCACTAAACTCATAGCAGTCATATGGTGCATTGGGGAATGGGAGGCAGAGTTGATTCAAGGAAAAGGAGCGCAACTTTAATTCTTTGGATCAAGATTCCATCACCTGCATCAAACACCTCTTGAAAATTTTTATTTCTTTCAGTAGTTGCTGGCTGTGATAAGACTGTAAAGCCAAAACTTATAAAATTGTTCAACCATAGAGATGTCATTAGTGTACAGTGGAACCTCGGTATGCAAACAGCTCCTGACTCAAACAAAGTTCAGCACTCGACCAAACAAACACGACCTGCCAGCACTTCACTGTAAACTACAGCCTCTCCTCACTTAGCGACGTACTCTTTTACCGACGCCTCAGACTTACGATGGGCTATATAACCAGTATGCATGCCTAAATAATGTATACTAGAGCTGGTTTTCTCTATTCTGTTTATTACAATGTACAGCACACTACTGTATAAACATTTAAAAATAGTATACCATAAATGTTATAAATGGTGCAAAGGTGACATTAAAACAATATCAAAGATAGTTGACACAAACCCACTACCATTATAGTATGTTCCTCACTTAGCGATGAATTTGTTTACTGACGTGATCTTAGGAACGGAACTCCATCATTAAGTGAGGAGAGGCTGTATTTCGTATTTCTTAGTATTTTTTGGTGTTTTTTTGTATTTGTGTAAATAAGTCACCATGGGGCCTGCGAAGGTTAGTGACAACAACCAACCAAAAAGAAAATTGGTTGCAAAGAATTTGTTCAATACTCGAATGGATCGTCACTCAGACAGACTTCTGGAATGAATTATGTTTGAGTACTGAGGTTCCACTGTACATATATTCATATGTAATTTAAGTTATGTAGTACAGTCATAAACTGCAGTACATCATGATCTGTTTCTACTGTAGATACTGTGCATCAGGTACACATTTCTATCAGATAATGTATTGTGTAGAAGAAAATAGTCTTTCTTCTTAATTGATTAAGAATTTTCTGATAATTTTTTGTTGATGTTCAGGTGGATCGTTGACCAAAATTGCCTACTACTCTACAGTCTCTCACAGGAAAGTCTTGTATAATGCAGAAAAAGATAGTGCTGCCTCAGTAAGTATTTTTTTTAAGAATTTTATTTGTGTTGTAACTGAAAGAAACTGTAAAGACATCAATCACTTGAACTTTTTTAAACATCAAGTGTTCAAGTAAAACACCATCTTGAGGACAACAGCCTAAAAATATTATTTCTAGAGTACATACATATGAGTCAAGAGAGCTATTAAATCAGTGATGTTAAATGTGTTTCCTTCTTCAAGCCACTACTTTGGTAGAAAATGACCAGTGTAGTAATATCCAGTTGCAAATATTTTTTTAGTATCTTGGCCATTTTTCAGCAGTTGTTCCCTTATGGTATCATTTAATCTCTCATAAATCTTGTTACAGTCTTTCTCCCAAGTCTTGGTGGGTTGTATGTATTGATTACTGCAATTTCCTTACTGTTGTTTTGGATTTCTACTACTATTAAATTTTCAGAAGTCTTTGTTTGGGTTTTTAATTTCTGAAGCTCACTTTATTTATGTTGCCAATACAGTATTGTTACTCCATCTTCCTTTCTTACTACTATACGTATATACGCATAAAAATTTTACAAATGTGTTTCTCTCGCTATTTACCAACCTTACTTTTTCTGGCTACTAACTATCCTGTGTTCTTTTCTTTGAGAAATTATTTGACAGGTTGGTATGGCTGAATTACAAAAAAAAAAAAAAAAAAAATTCCTTTTCAATTTTTGTTCTTTTCCTCACTTGTCATTTGACCTCTTAGCAGTGTATATAAATTTTACCACTGTCCATGCATATATACGAGTATGCTTGTACATGCATGTGTAGTGTGACCTAAGTGTAAGTATAAGTAGCAAGACATACCTGAAATCTTGCATGTTTATGTGACAGAAAAAAGACACCAGCAATCCTACCATCATGTAAAACAAATACAGACTTCCGTTTTATACTCACTTGGCAGTATGGTAGTACCTCCCTGGGCAGTTGCTGTCTACCATACTGCCAAGTAAGTGTAAAACGGAAGCCTGTATTTGCTCTCATTTGTTCTCCTTTTCCACTTCCTCACCACTCTTCACCTCTCTTTTACTCTTCATATACTACACCTTTCTTATATCACTCCTTCTTTGTGAAAATCTCTCATAAGCAACCTTTTTCTCTTATCACACCCTTTCCCTCATCATTCTACCAATCACTTCGCTCTCCTCCTGCACCCACTCTTCTGTAGCTACAAACTTCTGCCCGGCATTCTAACACTGCTCTCACCAGCCCACCTTTCTCCCAATAGTTGCTTATATCTTACCCTAACTTCCTCCTTTAGTTTATAAACTTTTACCTCTCTTGCTTTTGCCATTTTCCTTTTGCCCATCTACCTCTTACTCTAACTGTAGCTACAACTAAATAACCTGCATTACTAACTCTTGAATTAGACAACACATTCCACAAAACATCTACACTTATTATTGTGCCTACTACATACACAAAACACTATACTCAAATGTAAACCCTCCTCTCGAACTCCTTGATAACTATAAAAGAACACACAACCATAGTACAAGACACAAATCACTCTTCGATATCCCTCGTGTCCATCTCTACCTGTTCAAAAATACTATGCACGTAAAAGGCCTGAAGATCTGGAATTCATTGCCAGAACACATTAAAGAACCCCTGTCTGCAAATCAGTTTAAGGCCCTACTAAGAAACCACCTCATCACCCAAAATAAACCAGACAAACTGTACCTAATCACTACCAGTTACTCAAAAGCTACTCATATTGTGCTGATGAATGCTCAACCACTTATTCACTACTTCAAAATTAGAATGTCTAAATTTTATTGTTTTAAATAGTACTAAATTGTAATATATCATATTGTAAATTGATTTTAAATTGTTTCATTGTGATACCAAATTTCATTATTTTAAGTAGTACTAAACTGTAATACATCATATTGTAAATTGTTTTAGATTGTTCCATTGTAATATTGTAGTCTTTATAAACTAATTCAATAGTGTAATAATTCTCTACTAGACTTATCAAAGCCATGTAGCATTACCTGATAGAATATTCAATTCTCTTGTACTCACTGTAATTCATCTAATGATCATATGAACTATTATTGCCTTCCTAATCTTAAGTTAATCTTTAAGTTTGACCAAAATACTCTGCATACAAAGGGGCTTTTGGCATGTACACTCAACTATTATATTCCTCTGTACAACCATGTATCTTGTCAAAATAAACATCTCTTAATCTGTTGCCCCTCTGTAAACATGCACAGCCTGAAGTCTACCCATCAACCTTTTATCCACCAATACATTATCTAACAAACTACTTTCATTATGTGCTATATCATATTTATCCTTTTGTTTTTTAAATATGTATTACTTGTTAACAAACCTCTTTCTATACATAATTCAATTAAAGGTCTCCCATTTTCATTTACCCCTGGCACCCCAAGCTTACTTACTACTCCCTCCACAATAGTGTTACCCACTTTAGCATTTAGGTCCCCCACCACAAGTACTCTCACACTAAGTTCAAACTCCCCACACACTCACTCAACATCTTCCAAAATCTCTCTCTCTTCTCTACACTTCTCTCTTCTCCAGGTGCTTAACCCTTAAACAGTCCAAACGTATATATATACGTTCACCCACGCAGCGCCCCGAATATTTTGAGAAAAAAAATCGTTTTTGTTATAGGAAAAAAGAGCATGTAGTACCCAGGCATCCCCAATTTTTTTCATATGGAGCACACTGAGTGCGCACACCCATTCTCTCATGTCTAGGCGACTCAGGCCTATCGTACCAATGTTGAATGAATGGCAAATGAAACGTATATATACGTTTGGACTGTTTAAGGGTTAAACATTTACTAAAAAACACCCGGCACACTTTTGTATCATCATTTGCAAATGACACTAAAATAAGCATGAAAGTCACTACGGTAGAGGACACTGAAAAATTACTGGAAGACATAAGCAGGGTTTTCCAGTGGGCAGTGGAGAACAACATGACGTTTAGTGGTGATAGGTTCCAGCTGATGTCACCGTGGTTGTTTAATATATTTATAGATGGGGTTGTAAGAGAAGTAAATGCGAGGGTCTTGGCAAGAGGCGTGGAGTTAAAAGATAAAGAATCACACATAAAGTGGGAGTTGTCACAGTTGCTCTTTGCTGATGACACTGTGCTCTTGGGAGATTCTGAAGAGAAGTTGCAGAGATTGGTGGATGAATTTGGTAGGGTGTGCAAAAGAAGAAAATTGAAAGTGAATACAGGAAAGAGTAAGGTTATGAGGATAACAAAAAGATTAGGTGATGAAAGATTGGATATCAGATTGGAGGGAGAGAGTATGGAGGAGGTGAATGTATTCAGATATTTGGGAGTGGACGTGTCAGCAGATGGGTCTATGAAAGATGAGGTGAATCATAGAATTGATGAGGGGAAAAGGGTGAGTGGTGCACTTAGGAGTCTGTGGAGACAAAGAACTTTGTCCTTGGAGGCAAAGAGGGGAATGTATGAGAGTATAGTTTTACCAACTGCTCTTATATGGGTGTGAAGCATGGGTGATGAATGTTGCAGCGAGGAGAAGGCTGGAGGCAGTGGAGATGTCATGTCTGAGAGCAATGTGTGGTGTGAATATAATGCAGAGAATTCGTAGTTTGGAAGTTAGGAGGAGGTGCGGGATTACCAAAACTGTTGTCCAGAGGGCTGAGGAAGGGTTGTTGAGGTGGTTCGGACATGTGGAGAGAATGGAGCGAAACAGAATAACTTCAAGAGTGTATCAGTCTGTAGTGGAAGGAAGGCGGGGTAGGGGTCGGCCTAGGAAAGGTTGGAGGGAGGGGGTAAAGGAGGTTTTGTGTGCGAGGGGCTTGGACTTCCAGCAGGCATGCGTGAGCGTGTTTGATAGGAGTGAATGGAGACAAATGGTTTTTAATACTTGACGTGCTGTTGGAGTGTGAGCAAAGTAACATTTATGAAGGGGTTCAGGGAAACCGGCAGGCCGGACTTGAGTCCTGGAGATGGGAAGTACAGTGCCTGCACTCTGAAGGAGGGGTGTTAATGTTGCAGTTTAAAAACTGTAGTGTAAAGCACCCTTCTGGCAAGACAGTGATGGAGTGAATGATGGTGAGAGTTTTTCTTTTTCGGGCCACCCTGCCTTGGTGGGAATCGGCCAGTGTGATAATAAAATAATAAAATAGGTTCCAGCTGCTTAGGTATGGAAAGAATGAAGAACTCAAAAGGTACTCTATATACAAAACTCAAGAGGGTCACCAAATAGAACATAAGGAACATGTAAAAGACCTGGGAGTAATTATGTCAGCTGACCTTTCTTTTATAGACTGTAACAAGACACAGATCATGACAGCCAGGAAGATGACAGGGTAGGTATTGAGAACTTTCAAAACAAAGGAAATAATGCCGATGATGACACTCTTCAAATCACTAGTGCTCCTTCACTTAGAATATTGCTCAGTGCTGACGGCCCTGTTCAAAGCAGGAGAAATATCGGAGCTGGAACAAATACAAAGATCGTTTATGGCTCACATTGAGCCATTAAGGCACCTAAACTACTGGGAATGCCTTGAAGTCTTGAACATGTACTCATTGGAATGGAGGAGAAGGAGATACATGATAATATATACAGTAGACCACCGTTTAACACGGTAGTTATGTTCCTGAAAACACTGTGTTAGGCAAAACCAACTGAGGAACTTATGGGAAAAATAGGGTTAGGTTCCTGGGGGCCCCCAAAAAGCCAAACAACTTTTTTTAGACTAATAGATCTTACAAAAATAAAAGTGAATATATAATTGTAGTGCATTATCGTGATATGTTACTGCTTAAGACTACAAATGCAATAGAAATAATAGTATTTCTTACCTTAAATTGTGGGTAATGGTGTTTGTGGATGATTGTAAAGAGAGTAGATAGGGATGGTGTGGCCCTACTGGGCTGAGGTGGATGGTTGTTGGTTGTCGGCATAAGTGGATGGTAGAGGTTCTGGTACTGAAGTCGCTGGTTGTATTGGAGTGTGCATAAATTCTG